ATTGTTTTTTATGTTTCAGCATATCCAGACTGCTGATTGGCTCCACAAATAAAAGCTTGACCCTTTTGTCGTGCTGCTAATGGGTGCAAGAACACCACTTACCTAAAAACAAAATAGAGTATATTAAGCTTTGCCTAGGCAGTAGGCTTGGGTGAGTTTTTTGGTTAGGCCTTTGTACAGAGTCTCATAATGGGCTATGTATTAAATGGGGTTGTTGTGGTTTTTTAAAAAAAAAGTTTCTCTGCTGAGGGTCACAGCATTAAAGGATAATTTAAAATGAAGCCACATTTCTAACAAGAGGCCAGATAACAAGGATAAATGAAATCTGTAGACAGTCTAGAAGCTTCATTTTAGCCGTAATTCATAATCTCTTCTACTACCGAACCTTTTACTGTGGAGCAAAATGGATTCATTTGTGTATATTTCCTTTCTCTGGGCCCACGGTGCTTGCTGATGGAGGAATGAACAAATAGAGAAATGGACAAGAGAAGAAAGAGGCTGGGGCTGATGCCAGGTGGAGTTGGAGAGGCATAAATAATCCCCAAACTGGATAACCAACCCCAGAATAATGAAGATATATTTTAGGGTCTTAATACTAATCTTGATATTTAATCTTTCTGAGCAATGTTAAAAACAAACGAGTGTATAATAGCATCAATAAAAATAATTTGCTGCGGAAAGGATCAGAAATAAATATGGCTTTCTTTTAGCATACACTATGAATCTATTGAACTGGTCACAGCGCTCTCTCAGAACACACAGATACAGCTCTGTTTAATTCCATATCCTCTTATCTATAAGTCCTACATTTAATTTACTACCATTCAAGTTGATTTATAGCTTTGCTTGGCAAAAGTACAATCTTGATTAAAAGGATATTATCACAGCTGATGGGCCTTGAACGCATTTTTTTCTCCCCCAGATCATCTAATAATTTTGAAAATGGCCTGCATTTTCCAAACACTAAGGCCAGATTTGGAAGTTTCCAGGTTTTGCTCACCTGCCTGCAATTTGGACAATGGTGAAATTAGTTAGGGGTATATTTGATAATATGGTTTGCCCATGACCTGTCTCTCCTGTTCAGTTTTAGAATGAGCAAGTTACTGAGATAGATTTTTAAAATACGTTTGTGTCAGGAAAGACCTGTGTCCTGGTTACCAGGTCTCTAACCTAGTTGATAAATGCAGCTGTAGCCAGTTTCTTGAATTGATGCTAGGCTGGAGTATATTCCAGTTTGCATAAGGGAGGATTCATGTACAACATAGGAGTGGTTAATTTTGGACTTGTTGCTATCAAAAGGTAGCTCAGTGAAACAGTATGAAATTAGTTTGCTTCTTTCAGCGAAAATGACTCTGTTTGCAAACGCTTTCATTTAGGTTGGTCAGAATTGGTCATTTTTCACATGAGGCCATATCCCACCCTCCGTTGTAACGGTACAGTATACTTATGTGCTCATGCCTGTGGCCCTGAGAGTAAGGAAAATACTGTTGTGCATCAAGTGACAAAAGGCTTTTATGCTTTGAGTCCATTAAGAACATTATTATCATTCTCCTGATTCTACTAGTTGGAAAATGAGTTTTGGCTTTCGATCTTTGTGAAATATATTTTTTACCTATCAAAGCCGTTATTTCTTAGAAGGTACTCGTTTCCAAAATCTCCATACATACAATTCAACCTTCAGGGACTCTGAATTGTTGAGAATTATGAGAACCCAGAGAACTTTGAAATATGGCAGTAGCTCAAAAATTTTAATCAAATATAAAAAAAATTAATGGTCATTTTTCTACGTAAAATTGGATGCTGGGGCTTTCTCAAAATTCAAAATAAAAAATGAGATATTAATGGTAAATGATTTTTATTTTGGTCAATAAGTCCTTAATTTTTTGTCTAAAGCTCCTCTTAATGTATAGATTATTTATCCTACATCTTTCACTAATGATAATAATTTGCTAATGTTGTAATTTAATCATTTTGAGCAATGTTAACAACAAATACTTGTATAAGGACATTAATAAAAATTAATAGACATAATAAAAAGCATTATGGCAATGATTTTTGGTAAAAAAATCTACTCTCTATTTTATGCTTTAACCAGGTACATCTCCCAACAATGAACACCAAGATACAAGGCAAGAGTGTTAAAATTATGTGTCAGTTTGACTGGGGCATGGTTCTCAGTAGTTCAGCAGTTTATGTAATGGTGTAATTTGTCCGTTATGTAATGATGCAGTCATCCTCCATTTTGTAATGCTTCATGTTTGCCTAACACCAATTTCCACACAATGACCTGATCACTGGAACTTAACCATACCGATAAGTGAGGAGTGGGAGTAACAGAACAGCTTTACTGAGATATTATTCACATACCATACAATTGGTCTTAATTGGTATTTTAATTATTAAACTACTTAGGCTTTCAAACCTCTAGAAAATGTTGAAGAACACCTTCTGATGAAGAAAGGTCTAAATGTACTTTTAAATCACATCCTCCCTGTTTACCTAATTTTTTTTTTCAATACATAGGCACAGTTTGAGAGAAGTAGCCTTGCTAATAGAAATTATCTAGTTCACCTAGAATAAAAATCACCTAGGGAGTTGTTCTTTTCCCAAACTATACTTTCTTAAGCACAAACCCTCCTGAAATTCTGATAAATCTTATACCCCGCCTCCCCACTGCATGCCAATTGAGCACAACTGATTTAGTTTAATTTCGTTTAACACTATTCTCACCGATAGAAAAACATTATTCCTCTCAGAATTTTGATTTAGACACCTTAATAAACATCAGATATTCTTTTCAAATTTAACATGACAGATTTTTATGAATAGAGTTGAAGATTCAAAATTCCCTTCAGTGAATGATGGGAGCATAAATTATTCATGCTGTATATATTTAAAAACAAATTATAAAGAATCTGATACTGTTGAAGGGGAAAAAATATCAAAGTCAGTGATGAGAAACAGTGTACACAAACCACAGCAAATTTGTCATTGCCTCAGTACTACGTCAGGCACTGAGGAGATTGATTAGTAGATGTCCTTTATCCTTGAAATAACGGAGAGTTAAGCACTCACATTTCTTGTCAGTTCTCCATTGTCCTTCCGAATGGGAGACCTTACTCTGTTAGTTTTTAAACAGTCGTCTCAGTTTTATTTTCAGCAAGACATTCATGAGTATACTGATAGCAAACAGATAGAAGAAATAGCCACAGAGATATGCTTTAATAAAAACAGCAACAACCCAAATTGCTCAGAAGATCTGACAGGCGCTAATGGATGGGCTGACTACCTGGGGAGTGGCGAGGGGAAGAGCAAAATGGATTTCTGGAGAAATTTTTTCTTTGAAAGATTTCAAAGTCAGAGCAGAAGTAAAAGGTTTTCATTGACCTCCCCCTCCCTCTTCTAAAACTAGACCTTTCCATCCATATTGATGAAAAGAATGGACAGCTATGACTCCACTCAGGTGCTTGGAAAAGCAACTCTATTCCAGGCACCTGAGTAGAGTAATGTTTATATGGTCTTGATTGCAGTGTTTGGGAAGACCTCGTATTCTACATGGAATGCACTGAGAGCAGTCTTATTTGAGAGAACAGTCGGGTTGTTGATGCCTTTGACATTTCTTTTTTATTATCAGTGTTCACAAAAAAGTTAAGAACTTTTGAATGGCCTTAGGGCTATATATGGGAGCTCTGGTGGCCTAGGGGATAGGGAGTTTCACTGCCAACCCAAAGGAAGGTAGTTCAAATTCAGCTGCTTCTCCACGGGAGAAAGATGAGCAGTCTCTTCCCATACAGTTTACAGCGTCTCATAACCTACTGGACGGTCAGCTATGAGTCAGTTTCACCTTGATGACAATGAGCAAAAACAACTGGGCTATATCCTAATTTTGTGTGAAAAATGAGGAGAAAAAGAAATTCCTTGAGATTCTATGCATATCAAAGAAAAGACGGTTGGTTTTGGTGGTTTGGCTTTTGTTTTGTTTTCTTAAGTGTATCACCAAAGGTCTATTTGTTTCGCATAAAAAAAAGTTAATAGTGGTCTCCAGGCTAGTATTGAAGGAAATTAGCAAAATACCCTGCCCCCACTTAATTTGAAATCTTTACTGCCCTTAAATATAGAAATATAGCACTGCTCTGTGAAGGCAGTGGCATGGATGGACAGTGGGAGTGGCTACTCGCCCACTTAAGCCAGATGCAATTTTTTTTTCCTAAAATACTATCTGTACTGGGTGATGAAGTAGGATCTGCTTGTTTTTCTTGTTATTTTTCAGGCTTATCTGGCCTTATTTGCCTAATTACAAGTAATTCCGGATCTTAAAGGGAATAGAAAGTTTGGAAGATTCCCTGGTGGCACAGTAGTTAAGCCCTCTCGCCTGTTAACCAAAAGGTTGATTATTTGAACCCGCCAGCTGGTCCCTTGGAAGAAAGGCGTAGCAATCTGCTTGTGTAAAGGCATCTTACAACTTTGGAAGTCCTATGGGTCAACTCTCCTCCATCCCGTAGGATGTCTAAACAGACAAAATGGCAATGAACATCTTAGTGAGGTAGCGGTCAGCCCAGAGATCTTGGAACTTAACCTGAAGTGGTGATTGTGTCTGCAAAACAGAAGGGTTGGTTGCTGTGTCTTTGAAGTCACTTCCCTTCGTCTAGCTCCTGACTTGTCACAGGTCAAAATTTGGGGTTGAGGGCAGGATTTTTTTTTTTTTTTGGCCATCCCATTGTCTTACTCTGTTCACAGTTCCAGATTGACTGTTCCCATTTTGAACAGAATAGCATAGGCCATCATATGTTGAGCACCAGCAAATACATCTTTTCGGTCTCTATGGTCATGATAATGACTTTCACAACCCAAAATCAAAGGCCTTGGAAAAAGACACTTGCTAAGCCCTTCTAAAAGTGAGGGGAAAGGAAGAACGGAATTCCTTGAAAGTTAAATGATAAAGATTTTATTTCTGTTTCTGTGAAGAAGACTGTACTAATAAAACTGCCAATTTCTTTCAGGTGGGTGTACATGGCATTAGAATAGAATTCATCAATGAAAAAGGATCAAAACGCACCGCCACCTACCTACCGGAGGTTGCAAAGGAGCAAGGTCATTGTACTTTATTTCATATGATTTGGTGGAGAATTTAAACCAATATGCGAAGTTACATGCGTTATCTGACCTTGCAGTCATGCCTGGTAGTTTACTGTTGGATCTTAAGAAAGGACTCTTCCTTCACTTACACCGATGCTGAATCTCTTTGCTAAAGGTTGACAGTATAAACACCCAAAAGCAGACTTGTTTTGACAGTAAGGATTTGTAAAAGTTGGGTTTTAATTTTAGGAAGCAGTTTTCTAATATGTGGTACCATTTCCCCATATTCTACTGTGGTTAGGCCGTATTATAAGCAAACCATTTCTTCCATAGTCAGATGGTTCACTGTCAGTTCCAAAATGTTTCAGTCTTAGGTGGCTACCATTACTCATGCTACTAGCATTAAGATTTTAGGTTTCCCATCATGATTAGGGCCACTGAGAATACATGAAGTGCTGTTGTTTTATATGCTCTGTCTGCAATTCCTAATCAACAAAATTGTCCTATTTCATCGAATCTGTTTCATAAGCATATATGAACCAGCACTATAACACAGTAACTTTCTGCTCTGAAGGGTGTTTTTTTTCTTTTTTAATCATTTCTAAAATCTAGTTTCTTATTATTTGAAATTGATATTTCTTCATCGTTTGGAGCATTTCTTCCAAAAAAAAAGTATTTGTAAGTTGGTTCTCCTATGTTTGTTTCATATCGGTACAAGCAACATATCAAAACCAAATCCCATTAAACTCCAAAACAAGAATTAGCCTTTAAGACAGCTCTCTGAAGATTTATTTGGGTTGCTTTAGAAAATGTTTGGCTTCTTCAGTATCATTAACTTCATACAGCACACATAACAGAGATAGAAAGCCTCAGATAATAGTATATCATCTCATGTTAGAACGAATAAAAATGTCCTTAAATATGGTTCAAAATACACTTGATCGAGTACAGGAGATACCATTAAGAACAATAATTACCATGAGTTACTATGGGAGCCTTGGATACCACTGAATTGGCACACTGACATGTACTTTCCTCCTCTGAGAAGATGTCAGTGTTAGTAGTGTTTGGTCTGTTACAAAAAAACATGATTGAGCAATCTCTGCCAGCCTTTTAGACTCCTCGCCTTCAAATGTGGTTGAAATCATAATGATGTTAGGCATTTTAGATAGCTAGCATCTAATGTGTGTGGAGTGAACTTGCTTTTAAACAGGATGAAATCTTAGTTCATCTGTGTGATTGCTTTTAAGACTAAAGAAGCTGGTGGTATTTGGTGACAGAGATAGCTGACCTCTATAAAAGCCCTTTGTCTTTACCCAAAGGTGCTTGCTGCATATGACTGACTGATATTTTATCTTTTCAATTCTCCACAGGATGGGACCATATTCAGACCATAGACTCCTTACTGAGGAAAGGAGGATACAAAGCTCCGATTACTAATGAATTCAGGAAAACCATAAAACTGACCAGGTACATAAGGGATTTTCTAGTGCACGGCTAACCAGGACGTGCATGTCTATAACTCTTTGACTTTTTTTTGGTCTTTCTAACTAGACTTGCTTCTCTTTTCTGAAACAGAGGGGAAATGAATGACAGGGCCATACTGAGGGTATATACAAGGGAACTCTGGTTGGCAATAAAAGCCTACTTGATGTATGAGCCCATTCTTCCCATACTTGGCTCTGTGGTTACTCTGGCTTTCTAAAAGCAATCCCTTTGAGACATTAGATGACATTATTCATGGAGAAAGCACTTGATTAGCTATTGGCTAGGTTTTGCCATTGCTTATCAGGGTCCAAGGATTCTGGTAAGCAGTCTTCAAATTTGAACTAAACCTTAAAATTTTGACAGTGATAGAAGTCTGCCATTAAACCTTGCTGGAAAACACAAGTGAGATAAACTTACAAACACAAAGCAAATCTCAATATGTAGTAACAGGTCCTTATTTTAAAGGGAAAAATCAAACATTTTAAGAAAATGGGTGGCTGGTCCCATTTATTTGCATCTCATAAAACTGCACTGAAAGTCTAAAGCTTAAGAATGGACTATTCTCAGCTCTGAGGGTTTACACACTTTAAAATGCCTCTGTTTCTGCTCTCCTTGAGCTTCATGGCTAGGGGGCTAGGACACTTATTAATGAAAGATAGAACATTATAGGTGATATGAGATCATAGAATAAGGAATGAGCAGTTTCCAGGAAGGAACTGGGGGATAACAGCAGGTTTCAAAGTAGACTGAGGTAGATTTGAGGCTGGACTCGAAGAATGTTGAGGCTGGACTCGAAGAATGCATGGGTAGAATATTTGACAGGGCGGAGAGGAAGGAAACAATTACCTTCAGGACTACTTTGTGAGTCAAGGTAACTTACAGAACAGATTCTGAAGAATTTTAGTCTGGAATGTCTGGCCTTTCAGTGTACATAGATGACACACAGTCATTAGAAGAAAGCATGCCTCGAAGGTCAGTTTGGAGGGTCTGGAGTTCTACATTAAGAAATTAAAAGAAATTTTTTATTCTTTTCAAAGAGAAAAGTGAACGGGGGGGGGCAGGGAAGAAAATGTGCAACAATGAGTGAAAATCCAACTTCTCTATAAACTTGCATTAAAATATCAATTTTAAAAAGACAGAACCTGATTTGATAGATTGTAATTCCTGAAAGGTTTTGACATAAGAGTCAGAGTGAATTTAGAGAGGTATAGGATTGGCACTCTGGTAGCCTAGTGGTAAGGAACTGCACTGCAATGTCAAAGGCACATGGTTTGGATCCACCAGCTACTCCAGGGGCGAAGGATGGGCAGTTCCTTCTGTGCAATTATTAACTGCCTCTGAAAAACTGCTGGAGGGTCAGATATGGGTTGGTTCTGACTCGACAGTACACCACAACAACAGGATTGGAATTAGAAATGGGAAAGTAACAGATTGGAGACATTGCTATTATCTAAAAACTTGTGGCAGTGTCAAACTTGCAAAATAGGAGTTGTGGCAGTAAAACAGAGAAGGAGAGAAGTATTAAGAAAATACCACGGAAGAAATGAAAAGCATTAGTCATTACTTAGAGAAGAGAAACAAGTCCAGGACAGGTGACTCTGGGGCTTTATTCTCAATGAAAGGGATCCTGTTGATGCTCATAACTAGGGTAGAGCCCACAAGTGGAGAGTCATGTACATGCATTCATTCTGGTTTTGCAGTGCATCTTAGGATAGTTGCATAGAAATTGAGGAAGTCACTGAAAACGTACACATAAAGAGCTCATGGATAGAGATGACAAGTTGGGACTCATCTGCAAAGAAGTCGTAGCTGGAATTGTGAGAGAAGGTTCTCTGTGGTGGGGCGGGGGGGGAGTTCATATTCAAAAGAGGCAATGATAGAAATGTGGAGCAAATCCTACCATACAGGGATAGAATTAGCAGCCAAAGAGTCTGAGAAGTACAAGAAGAGCCAAGAGAGTGTACAGCCTAAGTAAGAGACAAGAGACTATCCAAAAAAGGAGTGGTGAGCGGGACCCTTGTGGAGAAATCAAACAGAATCAGGGGAGTGGTCTTCTGTCAAAGAGTAACATCAGAAGCTGAGATAGCACCAAGTTGAGGGGGCAGTGCAAGATGAGGTCCTGAAGGTCGAAAACACAGGCTTTTGAGAAACATGGCAGTGAAAAGAAGGCTAGATATGGCAAAGAGAGCTCAAGGGTACTAGGTTTAAGACAAACTCTTCTGGAAATTGTCTTTTCCTCCATGAGGAAGACCTTCTAGAGGTGCGCACAGAGAGAAAGGCACTGTTACTGAGATGGATTATCCCTGAAGGAAGAGTTCTTAAGTGCATGATGATAAGTTCCTGATGGTAACAGATCGGCTTTCCCTTGCTCTCTCCTGTCAGCGAACTGGGGGTAGTGGAGGACTAAAAGGTATGGAATTTCTAGAAGAACAAATTTAACAAAGAGTAGTGACATGAAAAGGCCATTGGACTGAGAGGCCAGATTCCTGGGTTCTGATTCGAGCTTTACCACTTACTACTAGCTGTGTAGCATTGGACAAGACACGGCTTCTCTCTGGGCTTCTTCTGTTTCCCCACCTATAAAATGATCTCCTAGCCCTGACACTGACATGTCAGCTGTCTTTCATGAGGGTTAACTTTGTCTTTTCCATGACTTTCTTTCAGGTACCGTAGTGAAAAGATGACCCTGAGCTATGCTGAATACCTTGCTCATCGCCAGCACCATCATTTCCAGAATGGCATCGGGCATCCCCTTCCGCCATACAACCATTATTCCTGACACTGAGCCGCACAACCAGTCACTGGGCCTCTCTGCAGACCTCTTCCCAGGAGATCCTACCCCTTCTTGGTCTAGCTATCTTTTTTACTGTACCATTTTATGATGATAGTTTCCGTTGCCATGATGAAGCTTTGGCATAGTCAAAAATCATCATGGTGACGGGTAGGAAAATGACATTTTGTTAAGAAGATTTTGTGTTAGTATTTGATCATTGGCATTTTTTTTTTGCAGCATATATAACTTTTGGGGTTTTATTTCCTTACAATATTATATAGCATTTGGCTTTCTATATCAGGTTTGTGTCTTTCTATCTTCCTTTTTTCTTTTTCCCTCTCTCTGCCTTCCTTTCTCTTCCCTTCCTTCCTTCCTTCAACTGTGGATGGAAGAAAGTGTGTAACTTTTAAAGATGTTACTTAGGTTTTTCCTTAGTAAGTGGATAATTTTTTTTGAGAATTGAGTTTGGGAGTAATTGATCAAATAGCAAGTATTTGTGTATTACTCTTGGATTTATCTAAGATTCACTTTGTTATGAGAACTTAGTATGTGGGTATTCACTCCTTAAGTATATGTTTTCCCATGGCTGAAATACATGAACTTTCGTTCCAGTAGCTCACATTTGGGGTCTGTGAGAGGACTTGTCATGGAGTGTGAGAAACCATGTCTTGCCTGGTTTCCACTGGAGAAGCTGCCTCATCACTTTGTAAATTACACACTTTATCTGTGAAAGTTCAGCCTTTCAAATATGCTACAGAAATCACTTTGAAAAACAGTGAATATTAGGAAGAGGGCAGAGAAAGAATTTAGTGCCTTTGAAAAGAGTCTAATTAAATGGAATTTAGGGAGTGGGCTAGGGAAAAAAGGCAATTTAGAGGAATATTCTTATAATATTTTATTGTTTCTATATGTGAAACAAGAGATGAGACAAATTTCTTACTCTTAGGTATTTTTTTAAATGGAAAAAAATTATTTTGAGCAAAAAACCAAAAATAGACATTTGTTTATTCTATTTTAATTTAAATTTGTTAGCTTTTAGATTTCACTAAGTCATAATTGGCCAGAGACAATTTCTGCTACCATTAAAAAAAATGGTAAAGATAATCAAATTAAACAGAAGTTCATGTATGCCATGATTTCAGATATATTTGTCATGGGGACAGTACTGGAATTTTAGAAAGAAGAAATAGCTTGAGTCACTTTCTGCACTACATACTTTTGATAGAAACACATTTATTATGTTGTTTAGATGTTATCATTACACCTGTAAAAATGGAGTAATGGCGTTGGCACTTAGATATCTTATAGTTAGAGGCCAGCTCATTTGTAGGGCAAGCCTTCTCATGATACATACAAAGAGAACTTTTGATGTTGATAAGAAGACCACATGTCTCCAGGAAAGTGACACATTCTGGAGAAAGGTTACTTTCTTCTTATGTTAGTATATATACATATATACATATGTGTATAAGTTTGTATGTATGTATGTATATATGTGTGTGCGTGTGTGTTTAGTTTCTTTTTATCAAACAGGAAACCAATATATCAAGTGATGACTATACATATGGTGCAGAATATATATTCTAAGAAACTATAAGAAATGCCACTGAATATTGAAATGGTCTAGGTTATTCATAGAGTCACTGGGACAAGTGACAGACTGCTAGTTGAGAACTCAAGAATCCTTTTTTCTAGTTTGTGATATAATTGGCTGAATTTCTTCTGCTTGCCAACGTGGCAAAGCAAACTGCTTTTCATTTTGATGAGAGGTCTTCGAAAGTTGGTGTTCCTTCATCCACAGCATCCATTGGTGAACTAATAATTTTCAGTTGTGATGCCTTAACTAATAAGCCAATTGTTAGCCTGAAACGCAATCTTGGTAGCCAGTTTCCAAAACCTAGAAGTGATTCAGGAAAAGCTAGCTCTTGAGCTTTAGAAAGGGATTTCTACATGGGAACATTTTTGAGCAGATAAGTTTTTCAGTGTGAAAACAAGTGGCTACCTGGTGGAAACCTTTTCTTGCCCTTATAGGGATTCTGAGCACAAGTTGAGTGATAGTGTCTGCTGCAAAAAAAAAAAAAAAAAAAAAAAAAAAAAAAAAAAGTAAAACAAACAAGTAAACTGAAGAGAAACAAAGTAGACCAATATTTTTGTGAAATTCATCTTATCCATCATCTCATCAGTTCAGCAGGCTCCTGTCCTGAGTGAGCTTATGGTTAGAAGTTGTTGTTTTTTAAAGTAAAGTTCTATTATATACGCATATGTGTGTATGTATATGTGTATTTTAATACATACATGTATACATACATACATGTGTGTGTTTATGTATTTAAAGGTGCTAATCAATCTTGAGCAGGTCATGTGACTGGTCATGCGGACTCTAAAATCATATCAGATTTTTTAAAATCCTTGATATATGCAGATGTTATACAGATTTTCTTTTTTCTTACCGGTGTAATAATGTTATACTGAAGAAATAACCATCCTGCAGGCTTCAAAGGACGAGGTCAGCAATATTTCCCACCATGGCTTGGGGAAAAGGATAGTTTTGTTTCCTTTTTTATTCAAATTAATGCACAGTGCATTTGTGTTTTTAAGTAGCTGTTGACTAAAAGACTTTGTAGTGTAAAGGGTGTTACACAAACTGTTAATGGTGTGCTTTAAACAAATACTAGACCCTTTCACCTTTGTCGCGTATATTACAAAAGCTGTTAAATATGTGGTTTGAATTAACTTTGAACATGTTGAAATATGTAGCATGTGTTTTTGACTCAGACGAAGATTCTAATTGCACAGGTTGTATTCTCGCCAGTTGTGGTTTTTTATGTGTTCAGAAACACAAATGTGAATTGCACTCTTATCACCAGAATATTGTATAAGTTCAGTGATCTATTTAAACAGCTCAGAAGTAATACTTGAACTTCATTTGAGTAGCACAAAGTTTACATAGCCCCTTTTTTAAAATGTTAATTAGTTCCAGTTAAGTTTTCCATTTTCAAATGCAACTGTGTGTTTTTCCTCTTGGAAAATAGTACATGTTTCACTTTGGTATGTAGCAAAAGACTTCCATTTCTGGAAGGGTTTCCTTGTTCTTAAACAAGACCAGCCAGGTACCAGATTCTAAAAGAACAGTTGTCTCTCCCCCACCCCCACCCCCTCAAGTGGCCTTCTGACTGCACAGGAATGTGCTACTATTATCCTGTCCAAACTCCTACCCTGTGAGGTCAGTATAACTTTTGGAAGAGATGAGCAAGGGTTGCTCTGTTTGCCTCACCCCACCGAAAGCAGTCAAGGATTTTCAGTCCAGTGCACACGGTCCCAGTGCCCAGCACACCGGAAGTTTGTAATACTGGCCTCTTGGCTTGTCTACAAATGTGCAGGAAATTCGAAACTGTCATCTGGAATAGGTTCCATCTCTTTACGTGTGTTAGATCAAACCAAAGAAGCCCCCAGCCATGCCCAAATGCTGCTCCAAAAGCCTGCCTTCCAGTCCTTACAAAAACCTTGCAGGATTAAATGTGTTAACTTTTTTATTTTTGTACAGTTTCTAAGTGATTTTTGCTAGTGATGTTAAATTGAATTAAGTTTATTTAAGGGGTGTGAGCACCTCCTCCATTGAGATAAACTGGTGACTTTTTATTTTTTAAAAGCAGAAACCTGTTGTGTGCCTCTCAATTTAAGGGTTTCTGATGACATTATTCTTAAGACCAGCATTGATCCTTTATATACAAAGATATGTTTTCCTTGTTTTTTATTACTGTTTCAGAAAAAAAAAAGAAACCTTTTATTTTGCTCTGGACCCAGTAACTGCGCTGGTACATAGACGCACTGAGAAAACAAACTTTTGTAATCACCTCTGACTGTTTTTGTATATCAAAGTTGATTACTTTTGAAATATTTGGATCTAGTTTCTAAGTTATTTTAGTGTTTTATATGTTCCCCAAAATTACTTTGAATCAGTCACCAGCATAATGTGTTCTTGGTGATGTAATGGTGAGACATGAAATGAGCAAACAGCTACCTGGAGTAGCTCTTTTTTCCTCCCCTTCCTTCTTGGTAACCTGTTTTTTGATTATAATAAGACATCACAGATTACCCCAAACCTCTTTAAATATGACTAGATCCTCCTTCATCCCACGTTTAATTGCTTAATAGTTTGAAGAAACTATTGGAAATGGGCATTTTATATGGTATGTATGGCTTTAAGATAAAAAAATAGCAAAAATAATAAAAATAAGAGAAGGTTTATGTGGGTCTGTAAGGTATGGCTGTGGAAAGATATTGTAGTAGTTTTGACACTATTGTTATTACCTTTAAAATCATTTACCCAATAAAATGTTAAAACTTCAAACAATTTGTTGTTTCTTTGGTTTTTTTTTTTTTTTTTGCTTTTCCTTGTTGTGTACCATTGAAGTGGATCTGACCGGCACAGGAGGAGACTACTCCTCCTTCTCCAGCGGAGCATCTGGTGGATTCAAACCATGCACCTTTGGGATTGCAGTGCAACTTCTTGCCATTAGGTCACCAGCGCTCCCTTGTTGTTTCTTTATTGAAACTGTTTTAGCATGGGCTCTTGATCTCATCAATATGTCTTTTTAAATTTCTTTTAAAAATTTTTTTACTGGTTTACATCAATACTTCTTACTAAGAGGTTAATAGTTGAAACTGTGAAATAATATAAATAGGAACTGATACTGATTTAGATACCAAACTGCAACTCAGGAAGCCTTGGCTGTGCTCCTCCACTAAGATCTCACTCACTCACTCACTCATTACTGTTGGATTGGTTCTGACGTATAGCCACCCTCCACTGGGTTTCTGAAGCTATAAATCTTTTTACAGGAGGAGACAGGAGACTGGCCATTTTTCTCTCAAGGAAGAAAACTCACTTATTGTATTTTAATTTAAATTTCTTAGCTTTTAGATTTCACTAAGTCATAATTGGCCAGAAACAATATTTGCTACCATTTAAAGAAATGGTAAGGATAATCAAATGAAATAGAAGTTCATATATGCAATGAGTTCAGATATATTTGTCATGGGGACAGTACTGGGATTTTAGAAAAAGAAATAGAGTAATTTTCTGCACTACATACTTTTGATAGAAACACATTTATTATGTTGTTTAAATGTTAT